TTGAATCCGGCTCCAGGAAACGACGCTCTCGACCCTTGAATTATTTACTTGTTTTACATACTTTAAGTTTTAATTTTATAATGTTATTTAATTCAATTCAATTTTAAATGGAAGATTCTGATTTGGTTAGGAACATGAAATAAGTCATTCAACTATTATTAAAAATCAGCAGGTATGAACAATGTAGGCGAAAGATTTTGCTTGGTATCGGCTGAATATGCAATTGGAGCTAGAATGTATGGAAATAAAGCATTAATTCATCATCAAAATTCTGCAGGCACTTTATGAATATTCTGACCTGGTTATCGATAAAAAAAGGCATTTATTCTTTCTTCAAAATAGATGGATGAATAAGGTATTTATTTATATGTATTAAAATTTCAGTTATAATATAAAATTGCTAATAATAAAAAAATTTTAATCTTATTGTTTTATATTTTATTTATCATATGAATAATGAAATAATTAAAAAAAGGTCTGGAAGAGAAATTAAAGATTGCTGAGGAAAGATAGGTATTTGTAGGAAGAGTTTGATGGAGATATGCATATCGCTCTAGTTATATAACATTTTGAGACATTAGTAAAAAATTTCAAATGCTGTTACAATGTATTATACTGATATTTAATATTAAAATCTGAAAAAAAATATATCAATATAGAAAGATTTTATGATATCGTTATAGCCAGATATTGGTATAACTAAGTGACATGTATTCAGTAAAAATATTTCTCCTATCTTGCTTTAGAGTAAAATTTTGTTACCATATAGTCGTGAAATAATGACTGGGTAAAATCGACTTCGATCATCACGTGACAAATTTAACTTGAACAAACAAAAAATTTATAGACTAAAAAATAATAACAATAAGCAGTAAACTAATTATTTTATTATAATATTTATTACAGTCAGAAAGTATTATTAATATGATTTTTCTAAGTATTCTATTGCCTCTTAAAATGATCATAATCCTCTTCCAAAGCGATCTATTTGTTACTATTTGGATTAATCATAATAATTTTTTTATTGCGTTCTGGATTCCGAATTATAAAACTTTTTGCTCAAATAAATAATCAGAGCTATAGTCTTCCGGAAGAGCATTCAAAATAACATTTATAAGATTTTCTGGTGTAATTACATTTGCCTTATTTAGTTTTTATAATTTTATTTCTTTTTTTATTTATCATTAGTGGAAATTTGGTTATGGCAATATGTATTTTTAGAATATTTTGTTATCAGATTTTATGTTTTTAAAAAATTGCAACGATTGTTTTACATTTTGAAGAATCGAAGTAAACAAAATCATTTACTAAATCAATTAATACTTTATTAATAATATTATCATAACAATAGCCCATGATTTTTGAAACTTTTTTGGGTGGCGATTTTACCCCGGTCCGAAATAACGAGCAGGGGTGTAATTTTGAATTTCAGCCTAAATTAAGCTTAATTCGGGCCAAAATTCGAAACAACACCCTGCGTGTTATTTTGCGACTATACGGTATATATCAATTAATTAAAATTTAAGATCGAGTACAGTATAATAAAAAAAAAAAAATCTTAAATTTTATTATTATTAAATATGAAATTGTGAATGTTTCATTATCATTAGACAAATCTATTTTTCACCGGCAGTTACAAGAATCTCAAAATTTTCAAAACAAAATAACTCAAAACTATGTCTATGAAATCAACTTCTATGTCTTAACAAAAGATATTCATTGTTTAATTTTACTATATACTATGGCCTTTCTAACTCCAAATACAACTACTGTACAAATAAAATCTAGGCACTGTTACCGCCAGCAACAATTAGTTGCAATTATTCGCAATTTAATTGTTTTGCAATTGTTTGTAACAATGTCAATTAAATATAATTGTGTAATAATTTAATTGCAATTTAATTTTCAGTACCCCTGTTATGATTAATAATCATTGTATAAATTGTTAACTTTTTTTTATCACTATGCTACATAATACAAAAATTATAATCTTGCGGAGTTAGTAAAAAGGGGTCCTTATCAAACACCCGGTATATATATATGAATTTTAGTAGGTTTTATAAATTTAAAAAGGGACCCCAATTTTCAGCATACCGTATCCTACCGTAAATAAGCACTACATCCTCTACCCACTTTTTAAATGTCAGATTAGCAGAAATCACAATGAAGTCTTTAGCCATATTATTTCCGCTAATCTGATATTTAAAAAAATGGGTTAGAGGGTGTGGTGCTTATTCACGGTAGAATACGGTAATCTATTTTTAGCATCAGCCCCCACAATAAATAACTTCCAGTTCCCGTGGGCACTAGGAAAAAACACTAGCTAGTTAATTATATGAAATAAGACAATTGTTAAATGTTGCGAATCAATGAATATTTGCAAATTCGAATTCGTATGAATTTATTTGAATTAAAAAAATTAAATTCGATTCCAACCTCTATACAAATCAGTGTCCACTTTATAACAACTAAAATGTTAATATCTACAAAGCCCCAAATTCACAATAAACCTACTCTAAAAAAAAAAACATTCCCAAGGTTCCCAATAATCATCATAGTCTATAACAAAGAGATCTAAAAATACTAATTCAATCTCTAGCATGTGAAGAGTATCCGCTAATTCTATTTTTTTTAAACACTAGTTGATGTGAATAAATTGATAGTATATGAATTATTTAATAAATACCTTTAACATAAATGCAAATTAGACGATGCCGAAAATTAGACCTAAATGCCTCTTCAGAATAATAATTTTTTTTAAATTACGTCTTTTGTGATCTATAAATAATGAAAGCAATAAACTTGCATTAGAAATAAATTAATAATTAAATAGTAAGGCAGACCATATACAAGTGTACAAATTTATACATGTTTTTAACCTTAACAAACATTGGAAAGCTATGAGATTAAAAAATGTCAATGTTGAATTTTCATCGAGGTTTGTTACTAATTCCTCTATTGCTAAGGTTGATATTTGCTGCTCGGGAGACAAAAATCCACAGAGGTGACCATTGTGCCTTTAACATAATTTGATTGCAACTAATTTCTTCTAAATATAAATACTTCGGATTTTTGCCCATTGGACAATGCCAAAAACCCTACGTGCCTCTTCAACAGGATAATAATAATTTTTTTTGAATTACGTCTTTTGTGACCTATAAATAATGAAAGCAATAAACTTGCATTAGAAGTAAATTAATAATTAAATATTATTAAAAGACAGACCACATGCAAACAAGTATTCAAATCCATATGTGTTTTTATCCTTAGCAAACATTGTAATCACTGCTAGAATATTCAGTAATCACAGTGCATAAATTACTACATTTGATCGCTCCAAGGTCTGCTGATTAGATTAACGATTATAAGAATCTTTATAGAGCATGTATGGAGTACCCGTTTCAATTTGTGATTCTAATATTGCGTGCTAAACCTAATTCTAAATTGTGCATTAAAGAAATCAGTAATTTCACATTGATAAAAGGTTTATTTAATCTTATATCGCAATCTTACCTAAAATTCATCTCTTCACGCATCCATAAGTCCAGGTGCCTGCTGGATCAAAAGGACCCTAATCATCGTCAAGATTATTGTCAACTGATAATCTTACAATTAATTCTAAAAGTTGAGAAAAAATTGATCATTCTGTCTTAATGAGTTGGCTTAATAACCAAATTTAAATTACTGTTTTGAATACCACTATCAACAAATAGCTTAATTAATAAATAAGCTAAATTATCTAAATCAATAGATTCTAATTTAATCCAAGTTATCCAAGAAGGTAAAGATCGAGAACTTTAAAACTCTTGCATAATTAAAAAAGAGTAATAGGGAGATTAACAATTATTCCATATTGATTTTGTCGTCTTCTGAAAAATAACTGGATATAAACGTAAAGTTTTTACTAAGTGAAAAAGGATGCTAGAAAAAATTTGCTCCAATGTCGGTTTACTAATGTGCAAGAATATAAAAGAAATTTCATTATTTACATTGAGATGGCGTACCTTTTATAAATGTGGATGAAAAATTTGATATTAAACCAAATAAATCAAAATTACCCAAAGAAATGGTATTCTCCTACTTTATTCCATAATCCTGATCGAACAAAAAGTATCTTTTAGTTTTCACGTAGTTTTACAAAGAAAACATTGACTTTACGGCTGTGATAAGCTTCTACTATTTCTATGAGAATTTGTGCAGCACTTAATATGCACAAATATTAGAATTGAATTAGTATAATTATAAATATTAGTCATTTAATAAGTTATTACCTAGCATCTAAATCTTCCATAATTTCTATATCAAAAATTACATTTTCAACTGGTGACAATCGCGCCTCTTCAGAAGGATGAACACTCATATCACCAAATGCTTCTAATTGTCTTAATCGATCTTTTAATTGACCGGTGTTAAGGGCTCTGATATTCGAACAACAAGTACATCTTCTACATGCTCAGCAGAATCAGGAAAATCCTTAATCGGTTTAAATTTGTTGGCATTACCAATACAACCCTATACATTTTTTTTTTAAAATAAATAAATAAAGATAATGAATATTTGAACAATCATTTGAATATTTGTCAAGAATTTTAAAATCAATAAATTACCAATATGTAGATAAGTGGTATGCTTAATCACAAGCACCATAGACAATGCAACTAATATAAATGTGCTATATTCAGTTGAAACATAAATTGTAATAAAGAAAATCAAAAATAATAAACCAAAATCATTCCATGCTCTGATTTTGTACATGAAATGAAAGTCATCGGGAAGCTCATTAATGTTAATGCTGCAAAACTAATAATTGATGCCAAAACCGATTTGGGCAGATAATAGAATAAAGGAAGGAGGAAACAAACAAGTACAAATATACAAGTTATCAACCTAGAAAATTGTGTTTTAATACTAGCTCTATCATTTATACTACTCCTAGCCGCCAATACAGAATATGATAATCCTGAAGGTAATAGAATAGTCGTGACAGTTAACGAGATGACAAAATCACCCCAAAAAGTTTGAAATAAATAAGATAGTAGCTAGCTGAAGACCAGAATATAATATCTGAGTCGGGTTTTGAAAGTAATCCAAGAAAAGCTTTTATTATTAGCTTTTCAAGGAAATGGTGGTCTTCCTCTTGAAATTTCCCAAAGAAATTTACATCAGTAACTCAGGTATATAGTTTTTTTGTTAAGAGGTAAAATTTTTTGGCACCCACATTATTAAAAATCAAGTGTCAGATATAAGCTGATAGAGGAGGTGACAAAATCTCAGGTCTAAATAACAGGAGGGAACATACCTAAAAATAGAACAGGTTACACAATTTATCAAAGTCGTAATTTATACAGTTTAAAGTACTTTTTCAGAAGTCTCGGGTAGCCCATCTTGCCTATAAAGAGTGCATCGGTTTCTTGAAAACTTAAAGTTCTTGCGACGGCGCATAAGAATATTTAGTGAATCCAACTGAATCCAACAATTTTTATTATAGTCAA